ACTCAGTAAGCGGCCCTCTGCCCGAAATAATTGCCTGCCCCGGCTTATATAGTAAGTATTTGAGTGGTTACAGCTGCCTCCAAATAGGGGAGGCTTCACATGCTAATGGCCTGACTCACTCACAGGGCCAGCCACAGCCCATTCAATTAGCCCTATTCTCCTGTAAATAGATTCAAAGATGAATTGGGAGATGAAAGGCACTTTGAAAAAAGATTCTTTGTGGGATTTACCTTTAAAAATCTCTCTACTTTAACTTATGCATTCCTTTCCCCTTCTTTTTAAAAGTTCCTGGAAGATCAGCTCACTTTCTCCTATCCCAAATCCATCTTTCCCACAGAAAACCTACATTGCCTGGTTGCTGGGAACAGCATGTACTAACAGGCAGGGCTGCTTGGTTTCTTGCTTGTCAGTGTCTCCAAGTCTGAAGCTTCCTTGTTTAAAATGCACCCCTTTCCATTCCCAAGCAGGTAATGTGTCACTAACCCTACTCCACAGAGATCCAGCTCAAAAAAGTAAAAGATAAAAAGAGCATAGTAAAATGCCAACTCTGTTCCTGCCTACATGGTGGGGGTGGTGTTACCAGGCTACCAGAAATACTGTATTTGGGAAGTCTCTGTTACAAGCTCCATTCTGGATTTTAGATTACTGGAAATCTGTGAATTTTTCATCTTGCTAGATTGGTAGGGCTTGGTTAGCACACAGCAGCAGACCCAACTCCATCCTACCACCCCAGCCTAATCTTACAATCACCTTACTGTCACCTCCCATGCTTTGTCTTGCACAGGAAAGCAGTAAAGAAACTGGCTCAGAGAACAGGATGCTTGTCACCTGCTCCTGGAAGGGAAACAGCATTCAAATGCATCCATGCGGGCACAGTAAAGGGCTGCATACCACTGCCCTAGTCAGTGCAGCTGGGAGGGAGAAAAGTCAGAGCAGTCATCAGGTTAGAACCCAAGCACCCCAGCATGGCAGGCTCATAGGAAGGACAAGAGCATAACTAGTACTGCAATACCAAGCTAGTTAGGGCTCTGGCCAGTTCTGAATTCCTGCTGCATAGTTTTGAATTACTTCCCTGATTCCCCCATTTAAGGTATGAATGGACATCTTCTTTGGAGCAGGATCAACCATGCCAGAAGTTATGGCACAGCTGCTCTACTTTGCTGATATCTACAGATGTCACTAGGGTTGCCGCCCTGCAGGATCAGGCTCCTGCTGCACACATGGCTTCAGGGGTCCAATCCTGTGCGACAACAGCTTTGGGTACCATGCCCTGGCTTGGGACACACATCTGTAAGCAAGGGAGGCTGCATGGTGGTTCTTCCACTTGTAGACACATGCCTGGGAATCCCCTGCAGGAGAATTCCCATGCCAAGCAATAAGCAAACAGACGTCTTCCCCTTTAAGGCATCTCAAACTGTGACCGTCTTTATTATGGCAACAATTTTTCAGCACCTGGAGCTGGACAAAGGGCTGGGACATCTGTTTGCTTGCAAGCTGTGCCTCTGTAAAATTTGTTTATGGTGGCACAAGGGTGACATCTGCGTGTACTTTTAGAGTCATTGGATAAGACTGCTGTTGTCTTGGCTCATGCTAGGGCTCAAACAAGGGGCTTCCCAGGTACAATCATGAGTTTTTACAGCTTGGGTTAGAGCCCGGTTCTCTAGCTAAGAGCAGTAACAAACCCATATAGCACAAAACACTGCAAAAGCCTTTACCATGAGGCCACCATTAAACAGGATGTGGTTCTATAGAGAAAGCTTCTCAGGACCTGGTGAGGTACAAAGATCAGAGCTGAATACTGCAGCCACCTGATGCTACCCAACCACCTCTGATGTACAGTACATACTAGAATCCAGAGAAACAAACTCCCAACATGCACATGGTCTACAAAATTTGAGCTTTCCCCTAATTTCCACTGCTTCTACCGTTCCAAGCCAAACTGGCTTCTTTTCTTGAGAAAAACTAGTAAAGAAGCTCTTAGTGCCTTGGGGGCAGGCCTACCCATGCCTCCCACTCACCTCTACATTGTACTTTTTGCGAGCCTTTGCCACATTCACTGCAAGGTGTGTGATCAAGACAAAACTAGCAGCACCAGTCAGGACCACGTAGCCATATTCCTTGGAAAGGACCACCATCTTGGCACTGCAAGAGAGGAAAATTGTTATGGTCCTGTGGCAGGACTGAGAAATCCACAAGGAAGAATGTACATCAGGTGTACAATTAACCCTCTGCTAGTATGAAGAGTGGGAAGTGTAGCAAGAATGGATAAAAATCCTTCCAGGATGGGGGCTTGGGCAGCTGAAGGAAGGAACAGTGAATCACAGGGCTTTCGCCCCTAGTTGTTTACTGAATTCCAGGCCAAGCTGTTCAGCACTAAATGAAATTAATTGGCTCTTGGTTCACTTCCCATTAGGTGTGCATACTACACAACCACTGCTGTCAGAACAGGCCCACATTAGCACTCACAGGGATCAAGGATGGGCCCTGGAGACCGCAGATCCCTGGAAGTGATCCTTTTGATTACTTTACATGAGGTGCTCTTGGATGCATGCATCCCTAGCAGCAGTGAAATTTGCTTGACTAGGTCTATTCAGATCTGTTAGTTATATTGCTGATGCTGTCCCAAATATGAGATTAGGTCTGTGTGGTCTAACTCCCACGGAAGACGGTGGTAAGATTACAGCCAACTTTAGTGGAATTGGATTAGACCAGAAGCCACTGGCATTGCTGGAAAGTTGCAGGACATTTAACCCTAACAGACTGCCTTCAAAAAGGGCTTGTGTCCCATGTCTGGCCACAGCAGGATGTGACACCACATGCTGGCATATAGCACAAGAATTAGTGGAAGGCTCCTCTCACTTTGACAAGTGTATCTATTTGGTAAAAAAGTGAAAACAAGACTTTGGACTAGAAAGCCAGCAAAATGTGTAATAATCTTATTGCCAGAAGCTGGTGAGCACTAAAGAGAGCTGGCCTGGACCCACATAATTAAACAGAAACCCCCAGAAACAGGAATCTTTGGTTCTCTTCTCCAGTAGGTCTGGTAAATACCAAGCTCTTGCAGACACACTAAGAACCAACAATGCGTCCTCACGCATGCTGCCCAAACCTAC